GCCGCATGTACATAAATGTACCTGAAGTGGGAACTGAAGAAGTAACCTTCTTCTCACGTTTTCCACTTCAGTCTAAGTGGCCAGGGACTACAGTCCCAGATCGGGCCTGTCAGTACGCGTGCCCACTTCGTCCCCCGAGAGGGTCCCTCCGCCGGGCGCTACAGCTGGGCCCCCTCCACCCTGGACGCGTCCCTGACACTTGCCCGTGTCTTGCTTTCCACAGTAAGTAAGTGATTGATCAGGGCCCAAACTGCTGGTGCCTTGGATTCAAATAGTGACTTCAGCGTGCTAATTCTTCCATCTTCAAGCTGTGCTGGGTGAAGGTGGGCAGCATTCATGTGAAGCCCACTCTCTTTTTCCATCAGTACTTGTATTTCTTCCGCGTAAATTGCTTGAGCACTTGTAAGGATCCAGTTTCTCACAATCACTGTGCTGCCAAGCTCAGGCTCAGGATTGAGAATCTGGACCTGAATTTCGCATAATATGTCACCAAAGCCTGAGGAAGTCAAGATTGTTGACAGAAAAGACATGAGAGTGAACCCATTAGTTAACATGCAATGAATTACATCTGTTGCATGATCTGTGGGTGAGTCCATGGTGTAAAAGACAGCGAAGGAGCGGGGGGCCGGTTTGGCGCTTCTAGGAGATTCCTTTTTGAGACCCAAGAGTTGTTTCGGGGTTTGCCGGTGGGCACCGCCACTGCCATAGTGAACCAGTCGTCGTAGCAGATGATCGGACATGAACTCTTTAACCCCGATACATGTGACTTATTATTTGTATCAATAACTGTATTGGGGTGGTCTGTATTGATTGTGGATTTGTCCGGATAACGTGATTTTTGAATTGTAATACAAAGGGGTACTTAATTGTTTTCTGACATTGTGCAGTGCGCGTCCACGAAGCGGAGACGGCTGGGTTCGAGTCTGAACGAGGTCTAGCTTTTCAGTTATGACCTTAGCTGTATTGTAGCGGAGTTGTCCGAATTTATTGTTATATTGTTATATGTAGCGAGGCACAGAGTAAATTCTGACTATCGTGAGAAACTTATCCCGGTTTACATCTCAACCATCACCAAGTAGACTATTCTGACTACGATGCCCAATACTTCAACGCGTCCCCCGAGCAACGAGTGTCAACATTTTTCAGGGAAGACTATAACTGGCTAGGTCTCCCTTCCTTTTCTCCTCAGTCCCTCAAGCACTTGCGCTCGAGACTAAGGTTAGTAGTAGTCGCCACTCACACCATATATGCACTCCCCGCTAATAAAAATAGTTTCTGAAAAGTTGCAATGCGATTCTGGAGTGCCTTCGCCCCACTTGCTCTGCTTCCAATCGTCGCGGCTGATTTCTACGTGGCCCAAATGAATTGCAGTCAGCAAAACACGGGTAATGTTACGCCCATCACTGAACGGGCTGGGATTCTTTTCACGCTGGGGCAAATCGGTGAACCAAACCAAAAATGAAATTGGCCTTCATTCTTAACTTATGTTTGCCCAATAGAGGATTGCCTTGTTTTCGGGGGCGCGCTGGATGATGGCCTTCAATACAATTCCACAGCGATGATGACCAGCAAAGTTTGCGGATATTACGTCACAGTGGATGTCGCAAACAACGCGTGGAGTTCCCCCTCGTTCGGAAAGACTGGGCGTTGCCAACCCTACGACCACCTCATAGGTGAATGCATCCCTTGGACGAACAAACTGTGCATTTTTGGGATGAAGATGGTTTGTGGTGGTGGGCCCGTCTGCTAGTAGCACCAGGATCTGGTGGAGTAGCGACCCCATGCCCGAGGCTGGAGTCCTACCAAGTAGAACTTACAGTGTGCGCGAATACATCTACGTTCAGAAGCCGGGTCAACAGAAAGGGCGCGATGAAGGCAAAAGAGAGACAAGCAATGTGCCAACTCGTGCAAGCGCCAATTTGATTCACGAAGTAGGAAAAATCATCTTCAAAGCCTCGGAAGGGGCCCTGGTCTCCTTATTGGGAAATGCGTGTGTATGACGAGGAATCTTTTCGTGTGGACTGGAGGACCCCGGCGGGAGCGAAGAGGTCATTCTCCCCAGAACAAAAGAGGGGGAATCGTTGCATCCCCTATTTGTGACTCGTTCTGACAAGAAGATAATTTGAAGCATGAGGGGTGAGGTGCGAAAGCTGTTCGACTAGATAGACGCGTAACGAGGATATGGCTTAGAAAATTTCATACTAAGACTGCGTGCCTGGCATAGCCTATCTATTGAGCGTCGCCTCGACTACCCTGGTAGCCCAACGCAAGAGTGATTTGGGCTAAAAGAACTATCCACTTGCTGGTAGATTTTTGCGCCAAGCGGTGTAGAGAAAGCTAAGGGGCGTTCCCTGAATCCCCAGCTGAACTACTACGGGTGTCACGTACGACTGAAGCAGATTTAGATCGGTAGAAACAGAGGAAGGTCGAGGGTCCCACCAGGTTTTATCAACGCCGCAGGTACACGTACAGAGAATGGCGTGTAAATATCAATAGCTCGCATATGGGCCAGCCAGTCGAAGCGACGGCTAGCTGTACAGAGTACACAGAGATGGCATCCGAGCCAGTTAGTGTCTCAGACCGCGCAAGAGATTTTTCCATCATAACTCGGACACCGCAAGTGCTTGGAATGGATATCAACTGCCTTCTGCAAGTCAGTAAAAGTGGTGGAATAGAAATATTATATGGTCCTAGGTACGTAAAAACCTGAATGCCACGATCCGAGAGCGATCAAGTGTAGAACCGCACATCAGCACACCACACCTAACTATCCTTGGATTGGAATATGCCTCTACACAGGCACAGGGGTCACTGAGCGCGAGCGGCGGAAAAAATTCGGGGCTCAAAATGTAAGATTGCATTGAATATATATTGTCGGAGAGGCGTCTGTGAGAAGGGGAAATCGAGGCTGGCCCAAAATTCGAGCAAGGTAATCATCAAGCCGAACGAATACTTGTGCTTAGGTCTGATGAGGGGGGTGGGAGAGGCGTACTGATGTGCAAAACGACAGCTGCGTTTGAGACATGTAAGACGGAGGGAGATCGCGATTACTGCCTCGAAAGTGGAAGAGGGAGACTCGAGCGAGAAGTTAAAGGCCAATGAACGCGCAAGAATATCAAGATGATCAAAGTAATAAATATCTCACGCCATGTTAATCACCTGACTTGGGATTCGGTCGAGGAACCCCGCAAACCCTAGCGCGCGGTAGCACATGTTCCACCACACGGGGCTATCTTCCCCTGATGCTTGCCTCCATGGAGACGGTCCGGCGAGTTCAGTTGGTTGGATACGACCGGGCGAAATATTGGGACTGAGGACATTAGGGGGCCATTGACGAGTTGGGAGCCTCGTGTTGAAATTTTTTCTTGGTACGCTGTGGACCGACCATTGAGTCCGTTGGACTACGTTTCTTGCGCACGGACATTTCCTTGTAGGATTGCCCGATGCTTTCCGTTTATGGAGTCCATGTTGATGGACGAGGATGGCTTACATAATTAGATCAGGCGCCTGCATGCTTTACGCATGAGATAGTTTGAATGAGGTTGAGCACCAGAGAATTCAATCGGAAGCTTCCATTACCCATGGAGCACATTCCCTTGGCATATTCAATCCATTGCCGAGGTTCACATGGTTCTCTGATATCTTCAACATGGGCCGAGAAAATAGGCAGGTTACCAGCCTCTATTAGTCCGAGAAAATAGACATGTGAATGCTCCGATCATAAACAGCGTTATCGGAGATGAAGCTACAGAAGTGAAGGAAGGAAACCTCCATACTTTCCGACACGGCGTGAGTACCCATTTGTGTTGTTTACAAGTATACAGACCAAGACTGAGACAGCATCCATCAGCACTAGATTAAAAGTCTACGCCCTTGCGGAATGAACTCGACGAGATGTAACCTTCAAGTTCTGCACTGGGGAATCATTCTTGTCCATGCCTTTAGCCAACGTCGACTCGTAATCTGACGTTCGGCAGAGGAATGGCTTACCAAACCTCTTGCCCCGGTCCGGATTTGGCCAATAGTCCAACCCTGTAGCCGCTTCCATCGCCAAAGATTTATCGGACTTGACTCCAACCCAAAAACTCGGCAATGTGGGTGATGAATGTATCTTTGGTGTGTTGAAGCTGACGAGCGAATGCGGCACTGGTGCGCTGATACCGCCAAAATCGATAAGTCGGAGGGTCGATGAGGAAGTTTGGAGGTTTGATGTCGCTGTAAACCATCACCAAGCGCTCGTCCCCGGGGGTCTTGGCGTCTAGCGGCAGGACCTTACCCGAACGATGATCGCGGAGAGCCTGTAGTAAAAACCTGTCAGTAATCGGCGAGAAGACCTACTGACACTTAATCATACCCTGTTTACATGTCACTTCAAGTGCAGGCGCGTCGGTGTGGCGAAACGGTCGCGCTGGAGTTGCCGAAAAAGGGATGGCGGCGCCAGGCGCGGCCGCTTTTTTTTTCGCACAAACGGCAGGAACCTTATATGTGCCTTCGATTAGAGACCAGTTTTTGCACCGACTGGAGGAGAGAGAGTTCGAAGAGCCAGCCGAGGGCATCAGCAACCGCCTGAAAAGCCTTGTCGAAGCGGGACTCGCACCTCAGCGTCGTTGGGGGCATCCTTGACCAGGTTGACGCGCTCTATTAGCGAGACACGGCCCCGAAAGAAGCACCCGCAAACCTCTGGAATGCTTGGTGCGTTCCGAGAGTTCTTGAATGCTGCCGCGTAGACGAACGCCTGTGTATCAGCTTCGTTAAGGAGGTCCCACGGAGTCATTGAATAATTTAACGACACAATCGTCGAATATGAGGACACGAAACTTGAGGCATCCTGCGTTTGAACGGCAGCAGCAACAATACCAGCGTGAAATTGGGCTGAGGGACAAGCAGATTGGACAGCAGCTTCAAGGCAGGAATAGTTTACACACATGGGCATATCAACGTAACCACTACTGCGTGACAGTAAGATTTCTATGAGGCACAAAGGGAAAATTAAATGAGGGGTTCAGACGCTGGGGAATTAAATATTTATGCGCTTAAATTATAAATAGATAAGCGCTAGCTTGGCACTTTAGAGTTCAAACTATCTACCAGCCTTTTCGTTCTCAATTTCCTTTCTTTTTCCTTTTCTCAGTCGTCTACACCGTAATCTGTTCCTCCGCAACCCACTCCTTAGCCTACCTCATCGAGGAGCAAGGAATGCTCGTTGCAAAGGAGTGAGAATTTTTGCAAGATAGGAGATCGCTCGTGGGTAGGCAGCGTTGGACGGGAGGGGGGAAGGGGCCATCTGGCGCAGAATCGTTGGCGGGGGGAAGTTGGGGGGGAGCGGCTGCTTTCATCGTTTTAAGGCTCTTTTCTTGGTGTCACGCTGTTAGGAAATCTGCTATATTTGGGAGTAGGGGATACCGGTGTCTGACGTGCGAGGAGGTCAATGAAATGACTAAGAGCTGGCCGCTCTGCGATGCACAATGCTGAGCTATATGTAAAATTCCTCTTCTTTTCGGTTCGCTGTAATACAGCCACGCACGTTTGACTTCCTCTTCCTTTTCGTGGCCATGGCTCCATTCGCGCAATAGCTTCGCTTGCAGTCTGGACTCGATGGATTGTCGCTCCTTAGCCTGTGAGCGACAAAATCGAACTTGTGCGGGGGATGAAAAATAACTCGCTGCCTCACTAGCCGATTCCCTATTCGTTTCGCTTGTTTGGGTGTTCCAAGGACCTGGGCCGGAAGTAATCTTCTCTTTACTCCGTTTTCCGGAACAAGGAAGAAAGATTCAACAGTGGTGCTGAAGTCCTCTTAGAAGGGTGATTGCTGCCGTTCTCGTCCAAAGGGCCTCGTTCGAGAGTCGGGAGCGAGGACTGATTCGCTTGTGATTGACCTAGATGTTGATGGCTCGTTGACAGCGCCACCATGATTTCTGGGACGCACCAGCAGGTACGGTAGTGGATTTCTCATTCGATGCCGGTGAATCCGCAGTGTCTACCCCTCCTCCATGCGCATTCCCTTCTCGCGACGAAGACGAGGATGCTATCCATGTGTTGAGAACTTGACACGATTACCTTGCTTGCAAGGTCTCTTCAATCCTCACAATTCGTGGGAACTTTCTTTTTCGCACCCTCCTAAATTGTTCCCACCCTTTGTCGGTGTCAAGGCTGCGCAGCAGCCATTTCTAGTACCAGAACGAAAGCGCAAAACTGAACACAATCAAAAACGCATTATAAAGAGTAACACCCACTGGACAGCTAACGCCGGCCACGCCGGGATATTGTGCAACCACGTGGTGCAATGGCGTTGTCGCGCGATCCCCAATTCCATGGCCGTCGTTAAGCATATCGATATCCATCATCGCTTTATATGTAGAGAGATCTTTCCATCCCGGTGAGTGCCACATAACAACACTTGGTTCTAGTCTCATCAATATTTCACTTGATGGATACTGAATTGCGGGTCTTCAAAGGGACCAGTTGTGTAAGCATAGTTATGTGAGCGATTTAGGAAAATCACGTGCTACGAATTGTACCCCGAAAGAGGCAAATGCCAAAACAAACCCTCTCGAAGTACCTTTTCAGCAAACCCGACATCCAGCAACTCCCTTGTTCCTGATTGTCAAATTTCAAAACTGCATGAATGAAGTACATATTCACCTTGATGGTGTGCGTGTGAGCAGGATTTTAAATCATGAAGGCCACCTATGGGTGCGTACCAGGTGTAACAATCGGACTGAGTCAAGCACTCGTTCTTTGCGATCATGCATGACCCATAGTAAAGCTGCGGTACAAGCTTCCTCCCATCTCTTCATATGGACATCAAATATTTAACTTCATGCATATTAAATCCTCATTGAAGCAATCTCCTTGATACTAATAACTGGTGATCGCCACCTGACACGGCAGAACCCATCACTCTTTTCGCTCGATACGACATGTATTTGGATGAGTACAAAGAGAGGATAAAAAAAGAGAAACGGAAACGGAAGAATAAAAGGGAGGACCATCCATTAGTTTCCCAGATGAGGAAGTCAATGTCAAAATAGCCCGGCCACAGGGAATCGAGGATCATCAATATCATCAGAGGTGCTCATCCCCCCCATCTAACAACACAGTATAATTCCCATGGTTGTCACGTCTGGCACCGTAATCCCATATCCTAGTTCCAGAGAACTCAAAAGTCGCAATTGCTCCCGGTGTGGAGGATATCACAGCAGTCCCATTTTTATGATAATTGACGGAAGGATCGTCAGCTGCGTATACAAGTCTCCAACCTGCTGACGCAATGGAGTCCATAATGGACGAGATACGTTGGATTGTATGGGTACAAAGAGAGGATTACAAAAGAGGAGCGGAAGAATAAAGGTGCAATCTGAGGATCCTAAGTTATGAAGCAATTTGAAATAATAGAGGACTCCGTCGTTTTTTGCATCCAATTCGGGACCTACAAGACCCCCTACAGAGTAGCGGGAATATTTGTATCTTAGCCCAGATCATTGTTGACAGATGTGCTACTGCCGCCATGCAGGATGCCTCTGCGTTTAATCTTATTGGACGCTTGTGCCATTAATTCCAATAACTCTTTGGACCTCCTTAACAAAATACCTTCGTCTACGCGGCGGCATTCAAGAGCGAACGCACCAGTATCAGTATCTTATGTATAATGTTGCCTTGAGAATAGTAGGCAGGATCCCACTGTTTCTCTCCCAATTTTTCTTCAAGGAAGAAACTTCTTTTTTCCACTTCCGCCGATGATGGTTGCATGTACATCATGGTTCACAGGAACCAGTACTATGTAGCGAGGCACACAGACTACTGTGAGAAACTTATCCTGGTTTACATCTCAACCATCACCACGTAGACTATTCTATATACGATGCCCAATACTTCAACGCGTCCATCGAGCAACGGGTGTCATCATTCTGCAGGGAAGATTATATCTTCCCACTTTCCAAATATTCGTTGGATAAGGGGAGCTTCCTATATAACCGGCTAGGTCTCCCTTCCTTTTCTCCTCAATCCCTCAAACACTTGCGTTCGAGACTAAGGTTAGTAGTAGTCGCCACTCACGCCATATCCACTCCCCGCTAATAAAAGCAGTTTCTGAAAAGTTGCAATGCGATTCTGGAGTGCCTTCGCCCCACTTGCTCTGCTTCCAATCGTCGCGGCTGATTTCTTCGCGGGCGACATTGCTTGCACTCCACCACAGGCGCCTAATGTTACGGACATAACTGGAACGACTGGGATTTTGTTCACGGAAGGGCAACTAAGTGAATCAAACCAAAAATGAAATTTGCCCTCGTTCTTAACCTATGTTTTCCCAACAGAGGATTGCGTTGCTCTCGTGAACGCGATGGATCCGAACATTGCAGCATACGGTCCCACAGCGACAATGAAGGGCACTATTTGCCAAGATAAAGAAGTCACAGTGGATGTCGCAAAGATGGCGTGGAGTTCCGCCCAGCCCGGAGTGGGTGGAAGTTGCAAGACCTACAGCCACGTGGTAGACACATGCGTTGCAACGCAGGGCGCAAAGTTCAACCAATCGTGCACTTATAGTGTGGAGATGGTTTGCGGTGGTGGGCCCGTCTGCTAGTAGCACCAGGATCTGGTGGAGTAGCGACCCCATGCCCGAGGCTGGAGTCCTACCAAGTAGAAATTACAGTGTGCGCGAATACATTTACGTTCAAAAGTCGGGTCAACAGAAAGGGAGCGATCAAGGCAAAAGAGAAACAAGCGACATGCCAACTCGTGCAAGCGCCAATTTGATTCATGGAGTAGGAAAATCATCTTCAAAGCCTGGAACGGGCCTTGGTCTCCTTATTGGGACCAACAGCTCCGATGTCGCAAATGTGTGTGTATGATGAGAATTTTTTTCGTATGAACTGTAAGACCCCCTCCCCAGAACACAAGAGGGGGAATCGTTGCCCCCCCATTTGTGACACGCTCTGACAAGCGGATAATTTGAAGCATGAAGAAGGGCGAGGTGCGAAAGCTGTTCGACCAGATAGACGCATAGCAAGGAAATGGCTTAGAAAATTTCATACTAAGACCGCGTGCCTGGCATAATGTATTTATTGAGCCTCGCCTCGACTACCTTCGTAGCTCAACGCAATAGTGAGTTGGGTTAAAAGAACTATCCACCCCGCCGGTGGATTTTTGCGCCAAACGGTATAGGGTGTCCCCATAGTGTTGAATTCCCGAGCCGAGTGCCATGTACGACTGGAGCAAAGTCTGGATATAGATCGGTAGAAACAGAGGAAGGGTAACTCGGGCAGTGTTTGAGGGTCCCACCAGGTTTTATCAACGCCGCAGTTACACGTACAGAGAAACAGAGAATGGTGTGTAAATATCAAAAGCTCGCATATGGGCCGGCCAGTCGAAGCGACGGCTGGCTGTACAGAGTACACAGAAATGACCCCCCCATCCGAGCCAGTTGGTATCTCGGACCGTGTAAGAGTTTTTTTTCCATCATAGCTCGGACACCACAAGTGCCTGGAATGGATATCAACCGCCTTCTGCAAGTCAGTAAAAAGTGGTGGAATAGAAATATTGTATGTTCCTAGGCACGGGAAAACCTGAATGCCCTGATCCGAGAACGATCAAGAGTAGAACCGCACATCAGCACACCATTCCTAACCATCCTTGGATTGGAACATGTCTCTACACAGGGGTCACTGAGCGGCAGAAAGGGTTCGGGGCTCAAGATGTAAGATCTGTATGATTGCATTGAAGATATACTGTCGGAGAGGCGTCTGTGAAAAGGGGAAATCGAGACTGGCCTAAGACTCGAGCAAGGTAACCATCAAGCCGAACGAATACTTGTGCTTAGCTCTGATGAGAGAGATAGGAGAGGCGTACTGGTGTGCAAAACGACGGCTGCGGTTGAGACATGCAAAACAAAGGGATTCGGTTCCGTAGTGCAGCCTTGTTGAAATCCTACCAACTTATGGAACTAGATCGATCACACAGGAGGGGACGTGCGAGAAACTTGGGTGACTTGACAAGCAGGAGGGAGACTCGAGCGAGAAGCTAAAGATCAGAGCAATAAACATCTCACGCCACAAGACCCTGAATTGTTAATCACCTAATTGACTTGGGATTCGGTCGAGGAACCCACAAACCCTAGCGGTAGCACACGGCGCTATCTTCCCCTGCTGCGTGCATCCTTGGAGGCGGTCCGGCAGGTTCAGATAGTTGGATACGACACGGGCGAAATATTGGGACTGAGGACATTAGGGTGCCACGAATGGAAATTGACCAGTTGGGAGCCTCGAAGGAAGCATTCCAAATTTGACCTCGCATAAAGTTGACACTGAAAGGGTACTTACGACAGCTGTGGAGACTGGAAACACGACAACTATCCGTTCGGTGGTTAACAGGCCGACAATACGATACCCAATTATCATGCAAGGACAGAACCAGGGGCTGTTAGTGCCTTCGAGTTCGTTCCTGAGCGGCGAAAGGACATGCGTTATTTTTGTTTTCCGTGTGTAGGGAGAGCGATAGTCAGACATTACATAAGCACCGAGATGACGTTGTTTACGCCAATTAGGTCAGGCACCTGCATGATTACGTATGAGATGTTTGAATGATTAGCACTAGAAAATTCAATCGGAAGCTTCCATTACCACATGGAGCACATTCCCTTGGCATATTCAATCCATTGCTGAGATTCGCGTGCAATCTCATGGTTCTAAAATCAAATTGTTTTCGGCGTGAGTACCCATTTGTGTTGTTAGCCCTTTATCGCGCCCGCAGAGTTGCCCAAAGGTACGTTGCTTCAACCCTCGTTCGACTGACTGGCGATGCCTTCATATATGCTTGCAGAAGTAGCGAAACTCTGCGCGAAAGCTCGCGCGCTTCAGCACACAATCCCAAATACATATAGTTCACTGGTACTTTGTAGCCACAACACTCACCCATTCACCTGCATCTGCTTTCGTCGTTCATGATCGATGGCTTGGATGAATCGTTCTTTGTCGTTCCAGCAGGGCCCGATTTGGCGCATGAGCCACCTAAAATCTGCAGGTTAAATATCCAGAATAAACAATGACCACACAGATAAAAAAATTAAAGTAGTGAAGGATAAGGGAATTCGTTTGATCTCTCGGCCTAATGAAGACGAAATCATATCCCGTTCATGTGTGGTGAATGGTCAGTGGTGCATGTCAAAAATGGGATCTCGGTTCACAGTCACATCACGGGTATTAAATAAATGAATGAATGAATAAGCCACTCGCCTATATAGTCTAAGTCATCGTCCTTGGACAGGAGCAGTGGGGATCAAGTGAGCGAGTCTCGCTCTGGACGGTTCCTTGATCTGCCATTAGTTTATTAAGAACCTCGACTGGAAAAGTCCATTCGCCAATGTGCCTACATCGGGCTGGCTTGGTGTTATCTGCTAAAGGATGATTCTTAAGTGCAGCTCGGCGGTCTTCCTGAAATTAGAAGACGGTCCACGTCTCTTCCTCCCCGACCTAAGGTCCCCCCAGGCTTGGCACTCTCTACTCTACGGTCCCCAGCTTCCACACATTCGACCCTCCGTGACATCACGAAGTCTTCATTACGCCGCTTAAGAATACAACATGGAGCCTTTGGATATGCGTACCCTCGGCGGTAAGCTGGCGTGGATCGAGGAACTCATTTCCTGGTGCAATAAAACTCACGCTGCATTGCACAAAAGAACGAGGGTCAGCTCCACACACTCCGTTACCTCGCCAAGTCATCGACCACTTCCCGCCGCGCGAGAGCGAGTTGGAGAGGAGACTTAAGGAAGTCCTGGTGAATGAACTGGACGCTACTTGTCAGTATGCTAGCCCACGTCTGATTCAGGTGCCTGAGCTGACGAAGAATCTCATCATACTGATGCGATTCACTAGTGGGTGATGATCATGCTCAAGATGAAGGCGTCAAGCGCTTTAAAGAATTCCGAAGGTGATCTTCAATCCCTAATCTTTGGCACCCTTGCTGATCTCCATGCATGTTCAACAGGAGGGTGAGAGCTCTGGATAGGGAACTCCACCGCTTCCGGAACACCATCTCCCAACTTAGCTCATCTGTTGGCCTTCTTTCCTCCACTGAAGATCTCCGTAAAAGACTCCAACAGCTCCTGAACTTGTTCCGCGAGAATGCAGCGGATATATTTCGCGATGTTCGTAGAGAGTTTGGAGATTTCTCTATAAGAAAGCCCCAAGCAAACACCTGTGGCGTTCCAACCCGCCCTTCCCGAAAGTTTCATTCGGAAGGAGTGATGACTGGCGACCTTGAACAGATACCAAGCCAGCTTCACTTGTTAGCGCAGGATTGGCGCACTTTCCTAGAAGCTCTGAACAGAATCCCGGAGTTTCGTGACGAGGTTGTCAGTCCTTCCATCCGGAGTTTCTATCATGATTTAGAATATTGGTCTTTCAGCCTGAGGGATTTTAAGGGTATTATCAGTCTGTTCGTATCATGCTGGTCACTAGAACAGGATTTTTAGATCAATTTAAATGGCCTTCTGTCCAACGTCATATTCACTTCTTGACTGGGGAGATGGCAGAACATCTGAACGATGTCACGGAAGCGTTGAAGATATTTACTGATGTCGGTGAGTCCCCAAGTGTTTCTTTCAGAAACTGACTAGACTCATATGCTTTTTTTTTTTTTTTCACAAGCGGTGCCAAAGATTCGCTTTTCCCAGCGCCAAGAGGCCAATCCCCTTCGGGATCTGTCAACAGTGGCCACATTGTTCTCTGCAGTTACAGCGACAACAATCCAGTTCAGCTACCTGTCTTTTACTACAAAACTAGAAAAAGCGGTGAATCTCTTATGGGTAACTTCCCTCGTTTTCTCGTTAGCGAGTGCCATCAATAGTCAAATGGCGTATCACTGGCGGCAAGTCGTCTCTGCAGACTCACTGTTGTTTTCAAGAACTTTAATGGATTTTTTTTTAGATCTGCTATGTATCGTTCACCAGATGCTTTTGTCCCTTGGTGGGTCTCCGTCTGGATCGTTCAAACGCCACTACTCTTTCTTGTCATTTCTATGATTGCATTCTCCACTGGTTTGGTATGCTTCACCTTTGCCAACTTCAGCTCTACCCCTTTCATCCCTATTGCGATCGCAGTGTGTACATCAATCTCGTCTGTTGCTCTTCTCGCTGTGGGCCTTTGGTTTGCAGGAGAACGTCATGCTTTCGGCGTATCAAAAGGCAAGAAGGTCAGCATCTAAAGACCATCAGAGAGAGTTTTTTTTTTTTGTTAATCGAGAACCTAGTGGCTTAGCGAAATGTTAAAAGAGGCGCGGGTTTATCATTATATCGCCATACCCTGCAGATGGATCAAGCATGCGCTGCTAAGCGTCATTGCTCTCTTACGACGGCTACGAAGGCGGGGCACAGATTCACTGTCGGTTGATTCGGATTCGGTCGTGCAGGAAATTGGTAGCGATATTGAGTCGGGCACCTCTATGACCCCGTACACTGGGACGTCAGCACAAGGCTCTATTGGATCTCGCCTTTCTGTTGTCCCATTGTCGCACACACCATCACTCGTTAAGAAAGTAACGCACCTTGATTCTGACGTTCAAGCACAGTCCCAAAATCTAGCCCCTGGAGTCTCAAACGGGTCTTTGCAATCAGTGATTGACCCTACATTTCCAGAAGAGTCACTTCAGCCCAAGGCGAAAAAGGAGTCAACAAATATGTTCTCATCGGCTCTACAAGTCAGGACCCCGATGCCACCCGCCCGCAAAGGAAAACTTAAGGAGGTGGCCAGTAAGGTTTTGAAAATTAAACGTGTCCTTTCTATCCTCCGTCCCAGTTTTGCTCCATTACCGAGTCCTACCTCAAATGACCTGGAAGCTGGGCTGCTCAATTCGGATATCCCGCGCAATCCTGTTGTACGGCCTTCACAAATGAAGAAATCGAGGCGGCTGACTGCCATACTTTCCGTGATCACCTCTCTCAAGCCCATCCATGAGCTGCCTTTGCAACCCGCAACCATCAAGCACTTGAAATTCAGTCCCGATGGGGAATATCGTGCGTATACAGGCTTTACATCTACCTCTTGTAACTATGCCCTCATCATGTCATATTATATTAATTGCAGTCGCCACGTCTTCTGGTGCACAAACCGTGGTCATCTGGAAGCTGGAAGATGAGATCTCAATCCACCATAAACTCATTCACCAGGAAAATCGGGTTGCTCATGTGGCATGGTCACCCGATGGGGAATATATGCTCACAAGGTTGACACGCTGTGTATATGTATGGTTACCGAAGGTAGACTGACAATCCAGCTGGGCAGCGTTTTCGTTACTAATCGGCTTGGATCCAGGATGGGTTAGTCTTTAAGACAATAGACCGAGGTCAAACTATTCAGTGGGTGGCATGGATGCCTAACAGTGTTGAATTCGTCACAGTGGAGGGGAAGCTTATACGAAGGCTTGTGGGTTTACCTCCCCACACTGTTGGAAATGGGATGATAAAATGGAATTTTACTAGTCCATCAACGGAAACGTCTTAGGGAAATTTGAGCCAAGCTCACTTTTACCTCAACAAGTTGTCGTTGTTCCGGATGAAGAAAGGTGCAGTTTCTTGGCATCACTCTCTTTCTTTCGTTAAACCCTTTGAGCAGGCTTCTTGTTGTAACGACTCTGGAAGTCACTCACGAAGGACGGAAACCATCGAAATCTCGCGTTCAAAAAAGGATTCTTCGTGGGTGCTTTGTTCTGGGATCGAAAAATAACTAATGTCGTACTGTGCATTCTCTGCTGCAGTATACAATATGCGGACCGGAGAAATTGAGCAGTAAGGGTTAATTGTTGTCACCTCGAATGCATATTTAATGACCACGCGTCCCAGCAAAGTCCCCATTCTCAATGATGTTCGCCACCTAGTGATTTCTCGTTCCGGTTCCCTTGTCCTGGTTAGCTATCATCGTAAGGCGAGTGGAGGAACACTTCACAGGGAAGAATAGAGGCCTCAACGGTACCAACTTACAGGCCGACCCTCAACTTTTCAGACTTAACGTCTTCCGTGATGATCGCGCACATCTTTCCCTCGTTCATACTTACCACACTCATGACGAGATGGATGCTGGTGGTTCATGCCAGCTCGGCCGCGTACGTACGGAAGACGAAGGTTCAGACTGGCATGTGGTTGTATGTGCCAGGAAAGGTAAGGGCTTTCTTTCCCTCTCAGACTAATGGGGTTCAAGTCTGGTGTCCTGAAGGTGGGGATATCCTCTTCTGGGATCGTGAAACATCGAAACTTCTACATTCGATTCCGGCTAAAAACCCAGCACCAGAATTCAATACAATCGCATGGAATTGTGGGAGTAGCAACCGACCAATGTTCGCAACCGCCTCCCGAGATCGTGCCGTCCATATTTGGGCCGTACCCAAAAATGCGGGGCAAGGACTGGAGCTTAACCTTTTTCCTTTATCATCTCCACCCAACCAACAGACCTCCCCTTTGATTTCAACCTCGATACCAGACAATGGTCCTCCGGCATCGACGGCGGAGCCTGGTCCTGTGAGTTATGACCCGGGACTTGGGGCCGGGAGCTCAAAAGTACACTTTGACGCAAGGACCTCACCTCGTTCTGATGATAAAATTCTCGATATCTTCTAGCCTAAGCAATGAATGAAACCCTTCTATCAGATGTGCAGAAACATGCTGGTTTGATACTATGTAAACGACTTCGGTTTCGGTGTTCTCGTGTAACCACTGTCAGTGGGCCTTCTCTCCAAGTTGTTTGCGGGACTGTGGAGTGACAATTAAGTTCTATGAACTCGCCAAATCCTTCCATCCCTGACACTTCTTTGTGCCTCTTTGGTTGATGTTTGTTCTTATATTATCCCGAACTAGCAGAATTGCATCTTGAATGAATCTTCCAGCGCTCCACCAGTGTCACCTCTGCACCATATATTCATGTCACTTGGTGTGGAGTGTGACGGTCTTGATGGCGAGGTGGCAAACGGGTGCATTGTTTGATACCTAATCAAGGTGTGCTTTTATCTTCACCCTTTCAAACTCGCCGCATAGATTCTTAAGCTTATCAACAAACTTGATGCTCCACAATATACTCTTCAAAACACGGCATGTTCATGGTTATAGTGTTGTGGTCTTTCGCCAAAGCGATCATGGGCTAGAGTGTAAGGTGCTAGTGGATGCAACCAGTGTCGAAGACGGGGATGTCGCCAGTGGGGTGACTTCGGATGTCCTTTGGGATGACAAGAAGTGGCTGGGGTCGCCCATCAAACAGTTACGGAGTAGGATGCCTTCAACATTTAGCAATGGTTCAAGCTGTATGAGTTCCAGGTCATTACACGAGAAGCACGAGGAATGTAATACGTGCTTAGTCACTAGAGTCCTTGAGAGTCAAGAGGGCTACGAGATCAGCTAGCTCCCTTTCTACGCTAGTCTTCGTGGTAGTAGCAAGGATCAGGCTACACAACCTCAGCGATGAAGAGGACAATTCATTGTCATGCGCTACAGATCAGGGGTTTCATGAGAATGTAGTGGTATAACATCATCCAAAGAAGTATTGTCCGCCACCATTGCGATGACGGGGCTTGGAGTCGTCACGTTGCGACCCCGCAGTGATCGCGTGAAGTTGAAGGCACGATGACGTTGCCAAGGTATTAGGGTGCGTTTCAAGTTGGACAGGCCTTTCACTAGAGGCTAGAAGTCTCTCCGAGAGTCGAATCCCTTGAGGTTCAAAAGCAGCCTGAGGTACTTAAACTCGAACTTGAGCTGCGAGTTTAGAATTCCATGAGCGCAATGTAACTGTGAAATACGGTTTGCTGCAGCCTCTATTTAGGTTTATCCTCATCCCTTCCATCCTGAACTGCCGGGCAGATGGGCAGATGCCGGTGCTTCTTTTGACGAGTTCAGCTTGCGTGCGTTATTTGCGCAGATGATATGGAGTCGGAAGTTGCCTGGCTTGTTGCGGCCCTTGACCATCTTCTCTGCTCGTGTTAGGCAGGTGACGCACCAGCCTCTCTTTATGTAACAGGAACAAAGAATGCCCTTCTATTTGGTATCCATGATTCGAGATCACCAGGGACATGTGTCCGATCTCTTATCATTGGACGCCAGGCAATCGGGCAATCTGTCTGATGTGGTCCTTATTGGCAACGCTGTTTTCAACGTTGAATTTGACCGAATCGGACTCCGAGTCGCACGTCTCACTACCCAGCCATGGTCGCGAGCATTTTTCCAACACCCTACCCAAGGGTGAGCAGATTTTTGAAGTGCAAGGCAGAACATTCGCTGTGAGCTCCGCACACCATCCTTTACCCGATGATCTGAACTGGTTCTTTCAAAATAAGATACCAAAGGCAATTTTGGCCCGTAACTGCATCCTCATCGAGGGAACAGATGTAGAAGCTGAATCGGATGATATGACGACTTATACACGGCTAGATGACTCGGCAGATGTCTTCGAGGATTTTGTCAATCTTCTTTACGAGTGCGTTTTGCTTGCCTACCTGTCGTTGTTGAATCATTTGAGGCTCATCGCACCGTAAACAAGTCCATTCAATTCTCCCCTTTTCCCCACTCAGGGAACCCAAGTCCAACTCAAACCGGTCCTCCACATTCTCCAAATCGCATACAAATATCATGCCAAAGATATCGAGAAACGCGCTTCGGCTATTGCTGAGGAACTGACCCAGCCAAGAAATCTCCCATCCCACTTGGGAATATCGCTCACGTGCATCGACATCTTCCGGATTGCGATCAACGTCAAGCGGATAATCATCGCAGAGAATGCATGGAAGGTGATGGTGACTAGGTTCTTGAGTGGTGAACTTGATTCCCGATCCTTGCTTGATGAAGCTATGGGTCAGCCACGATTCTTGGGGTCGGCGTATTACATCGTCATGCTCGGAGGACCACATAAATGGCGCGAAGATCCAAAACTCAGTATAGATGAAGTTTCTAGACTGAGCCAAGCGTTCCAATACTGCATGGAAGAATGGGACGGTTTTGTGTCGCGCGTCGCTCAAAGCAATCTTGATATTCCGAAGCGTCTGGCACGTCACCGAGTGCCGGCCCACCCATGCCCAGAAGATCGCAATACACATGCCCAGACCCCTGCAGTGAGAGCGCTGGTACGAACACAAACCCGAACACCCAGTCCGAATGCGTGTCTAACCATCATGGACGCTCTTGAGGAAGTTCCAATTGACAAGTACCAGAAGCATTGTGGTCTGCGTGCATGGGATCTACTGGGAAAACTAACGGAGATCAGTCGAGGCTGGCAATACTCGCACATTCCGGATTTGGCGCAGTGCGCCAAAAATACATTGGCTGCCATCGAGGCGGAGATGCCCACATATTTCGCTTTGGATGACGACACATTTATTGATTCACAACTTTCTTTTTCTGCAGAGCGCATCACCTATTACATTGGATTTTGAGTTGATTTCGTTCGAGGTGGAAGCCCGTCTGCCGATTGCTATAATTTGCATTGTGTTGTTCCTATGTCGGTGCCGATACCGCCCAGGGCCCTGCCGTACCATATCAGTAGGAGCATTGGATCAATCTTGGCTCCGAAGATTTTGTGTAGGATTGCTCACTGGTACAGCAATTACATAAATAAAGCCCTTCGGACTTCACTGATACAGTAATTTGACTCCCTTATTGGGCACCGACAGGATAGACTGCCAGTCGCTCACGTGAGTTTCGCCGAGGTATATCCGAATTTTTCCTGGTGCCCCAAGGTCACAATGTTGAGAATGCTATACATTCGAACCTACATTTGTTCGATCCCTTATTCCAGGCCTCATGTCAATCCTCCATTTCTCCCAGCTAACGCCTTTACTTGCCGTTGAACGGAGTCTAAATTGAAATCTCAAGAATGGCTGAAGACTCTGAACCGTCAAGCCCAGTCCCACCTCCGACTTTGAGTCCGCCGACGAGTAGACACTTATCATTTAATTTTCTTCGCTCTCAAAACTGGAACGGAGCATTGGAACACTACTCCACATCGTTGCCTCGTGGCTCGCAAACTTTCCTTGTGCAAGGCCGCCGATTCGTCGTAAGCTGATATCAATGTACCTTGGACATCGTACATGTTTTCTTACCATTCACAACCCCATATCAGGTTCCGAAAGCTCTGTTGGCTCAAAATAGCGATGTGTTCCTCGAGATCAGTCCTGATGAAAATTCCAAAGACGTCACGACGCTGGATGATCATTCCGAAGCGTTCGAGGATTTCGTGGATGTTCTGTTCAAGTTTGTCGTGTTTCATTCGATGCCCATCATTGTCTCCTTGTTGATCCCTTTTGTTTCAGTCCTTTCACGTCCTGTTTACTTCGGCCTTCTCCTCCATTGCGGAAAATCCTACACATTCTCCAAATTTCAAACAAGTATTGCTGTGAAGTTATTGAGGGCCTCGCGCGCCCTCTGGCGGTCCGCATGACGCAAAAGGAGAATATCAGATCGCACATCGACTCTTCGCTCTCAGCATTGAGCATTTTCCGCATCGGAATCAAGGCATCCGAGCCATCGATCTACCGAAATGCATGGGAATTGATTCTTGAATCCTTCAGGAAGCAGAAAATGACGTCCTACGATCTAATCGACGAGGGACGGCGTTCTGGCTTGAGAGAATTATTGGCGTCTGCATTCTACGAGGTCATGATTTCGGGCCGAAAGAAGTGGGACGAAGAGCCCGGTTTGACCTTACATGAGCGCCAAGCCCTCACAAGGGGTATGCTAAGCTGCACTGAAGATTGGGACGCTTTTGTGTCTCGGTTAGCGTCGGGGGACCTCGAAGTCCCTTACCAGCGAAGCCCCGCCATTTCTTCTCTGGGTATGATGCCTGAAAATGTCCCCCCCAAAACCCCCGTCCGCCATTGTGACTATCATGACCGACACCATTATAACGCCGAACTTGCAACAATTTCCCAGATCAATGCGTCCTATAAAGTCCCTACATACGACGTTATGGGAAGGTTATCGAGGATCAAGCAGGAGGTTCTGGATCATCTTATGAATAGTAATCATCATGATGGCGGGTGGAGTTTTCCATCTCACACGTGTTCAGAATGCTGGGATGATGTTGTATCTTGCGCAGACGAAACAAAAGCGTTCATAGAGTCGCGTCTGCCATTCTATTTTGTTGAGGAACAACACCGGCGGAACCCTAGAGAGACTCATTTCGCAGACGAATTGTCTGATATAGACTCTCTTGATCTTGATGTCAAATATTGATATCGACCTTATACTTACATAGTATACAGTTCTACACCTATTCGTTGAGGGAGTATTCACACAAAGCTCGCCAATTTTGCCATAGGAGCTCAAGACTCGTGCGTGTTTGCGTGGGAACGCGTCCGCCAAGGCGGTGTGATGCAGGCAGGACTCCAGCCTCTATGACTTCGTAATATTAGATAGAAGCGCGATGCGCCAATAACTCAGAGGGGAAATGATCATATGAGTCTTCCCTTCTAGCACAATGCCTGGTTCGATCTACACACTTCTCACCCTGAATCGCACGTTTTTACTACGGCAGCCTGACATCGCCTAGCTAGTTATCATCCATACAGCGAGTCGCGGGTGTTTTTGTGGTACTCGGCACCTCTCTCTCTGCTTTCCACAGTGGACCGACCTTCGTCGTAATCGGCTTGGGCTGTAACTTGTTCAATGGACCAGTTTCGCTCCGTCAACACTTCACCGTTGTCGTCACTTCCCCACCTTTTGGGATGTTGGAGCTAGTAGCCCCCATGGTGTACTTGATTAGGCTTCCCGTTCGCCGCTTTGTTAACGCGATTTTCCGACATAATTTGAGTCTGCGGAACGACTAGTCCCCCCCTTTCCGTGTTCCATCCACTTCATTGGAAAATCCGCAGAACTTATTCGTGAAGTCTCCAGTCGTCATCATCGCTGAAGCAGGGCTCGCTGGCTCTCGCGACATCTCACAGCTCGTTCCTTGCGACAGTTACCTTTGCAACGACTTCGGTTCTGGACGCGTTTCACGAAAGCGATCAAGATCCGTCTCTAATGACTAGGCTGCTTGGGGGGTGGCCCTTTCAGGCTGATGGGCAGGTGTCTCATGTACGACCGATAAAGTTGAAGTTTGTGTGAACTGGGGCAATACGGGAGCAATACAGGGGATGACCGTCATAATAAACCTGTCGGTGCCGAATAATCTATGTTCGCGATCACCAGAGACACGTTTCATCAGACTTCTGACAGTCACTGATGTGGTCCTTCACAACACTACTTTCGATGCTGAAATCAGCCAGATCGGAGAACGTTCAAAGCGCTCGTGCTCGCAAGAATGCTCTACCCATGGGTTCACACGTTTTTGAGGTACATTTGTTGTACGTGGCGTACACCATTCTTCTCCCAAGACCTTAACTACGACAATAAGATCCCCAAAGCAATACTAAGTAGCACAACATCGCATTGTCCTCGAAGAACCGGCATGTATGCTGATTCAGATGGGATTTCGGGTCCTACGATGACCCGGCAGATGTGTTCGAATATTTTATCAATTATCTTTCTGAGTGCGTTTTGCCTGCTCCCTACATCTCTGGATATCACAAACAAGTCCTATCGATTCCCTTATTTCCGTCATGCCCAGCTCGATTCAGCATCCTCTAAATTGCACCCAAATGTCGTGCCGGACATATTGAGAAGCGCGCATTGACCATTGCCACAGAACTGACGCAACCTGGAAATCTTTCATCCCATCTAGAAACATCCCTTACGTGCATTAATGTCTTTCGGAGTGCAATTGACATCGAACAGTTAGTCGTGGCGGAGAGCGCATGGACAATCATGGCGGGGAGTTCTTGACTCGAGAGCTTGGCGCTCGACTCCTAGGATGAATTCTCGTCGGCCCCGATTTTTGGGATGCGCATATTACGCAGGCTGCTCGAAGGCCCACGAAAATGGCTCAACGATCCGAAGCTCAATGGGGATAAGATTTCTCGAATAGTACAGGCGTTCCACCACTGCACCGCAGAATGGGACAGCTTTGAATTGCGTATCAACATGGGCAATCTACCACTCCCATGAGCTCTGATGATGACTGAGTGTGTCGCGAGCGGTCGTCCACTCCGGATTTCGTTCCCAGCGACCCCGTGCCCAGGTCCGTCATAGATCTCATTGTTGGACACATCGACAAGTCGTGCATGCGATATGGTCTGCATTCATGGGATAAACATAAACGGGAAGACTGAGGAGAGTCGGTCTAGGGGATAACGGGTGCGGGTGCGGGTGCGGGTGCTGTTGCCACTGCTACTGGCAGATGGACGGTTTCTGCCCACTGGAGGATAGTTTGACACGATGCGACAACGAAACATCAGCATATAATATCGATCTTATACAGTGATAATTGGGGGGGATGCGCAAAAACTCGAACTGCGTCGTATCTTATGCTAATTCTGGCAAACGAATTTGGTGGCTATGTTTTGTTGGGTGGTAGGAGCAGCATCCACGCAAAGCTCATATTTGCATGCCCTTACACGGTTGCGTCCGCGGGAAATATCCGTTGGCAAGGGGTGGAAGCTCTTCTGTCCCAAGGGACGCGACAGTCTCAGAGAGGAAACAACCATCTAAGTTTTCTCCTTTAGCGCAATGCCTGGTTTGATCTGCACCCTACTAGCCCTGCTTTCGGTTACAGCGTTAGGATACAGCAATTCGCGTGGTGTCAGTTGCATCACTGCATTTCTAAGGCACTCGGTACTTCTCTCTGCCACGAGGGGCATCGCTGTGTTGTTCAACCCCAACTTTTTGACACATGCTAGATATAGTGGTTCGTTTGGTGCATTTGATCGGACACGAACTTCAAAGTGTTCCCTTTCTCCGTATTGAATGCACTTTATTGGAAAATCCGAAGGACTTAGTCTTGTGCTATTATCAAACGCTGAATATCGTTCGACACCTCTGGGGCAACGAGCTCATCAGGGCCCAAATCCCATACTACGTATAAGACCCAGCCTTGCTCATACCCACTTCCTCACTGCCATGGAAAAATGGCAGTACTCGAGCAATATGGCCCTCTGTGGAACTACACCTGCCGAGGGCCTCTCTCAGAGCTGTCCATATCTTGTGTCACGGAATCAAGATCTCCGTTAGTTGATACCTCTTAAATTACAAGGAACGGCGAGATCGATCCTACAACCCACGTACTCCGAGTCTCACTCCTGCCACTATCGGTATCAATTTTCCTTCCACCCCTGGCCTGCTTCCACATGGTCTCAACAACAAGACCCGCTTAGTTCCGGGGATGAATGTCGTGTATTAAATCTACTACCACACGCAGAAACGAGCCTTCCGCATAGACGTAATCATCACTGGGAGCTTGCACTATCTCGCGGCCCCGTTCTCTCACCAATAACGTCCGACCCTCCTAATGTCGAACAGGATGCATGGTATTTGCCTGTCCACTGTGCTGCACGGTTGCTGGTCCAATGTTTCAGATAATGTTTTATATAGGCTGCGCTCTTCCGAGGAGTTTCTCCCTTTTTGTGAACCACCATCATCGTAGATCCACCTAGACTATATACTCGAGGACGATTCACCAACTGGGCCGCAGCAGCAATGTGACAACGTTCTCATTCTGTCTTCGTACCCTACAACTTTTTTCCAATGGCATCCCAATCTATGTTCTCCCACGGCAGATTTACTTTGTGACAATGTGAGCTGATGAACAGCAGCGCGATCTGATGATCATACTCTCGGAAGCAATACACGGATGCCTTTCAAGGTAAATCTGTCGGTGCCAATTAGCCCATCACCAGAGACACGTGTCTGATCTCTAATCAGGCTTCGAACAGTCAAATAACTCATCTAATGTCGTCCTTGCTAGCAACACTACTTTCAACATTGAGATTAGTCAGACCAGAGAACGTCCCATGCAGTCATCGCGTCCATTTTTCAAATGCACTACCCATGGGTTCGCACGTTTTTGAGGTACAAGGCCGCAGATTTGTTGTGAGTGTCACTCACCATTCCGAACCCGAGATCTGAACTCGGGAATAAGATCCCTGAGGCAATTCTCGCCCGAAACCGCATTGTCCTCGAAGGGATAGAATTTGCCGACTCAGATGAGGCTACAAGGTGTACGATATTAGACTACTCGCTAGATGCGTTCGAAGATTTCACCAATTATCTTTACGAGTGCGTTTTGTTGCTCCTCGTGGCTACTGAACCGTTTCGGGCTTACTGTGTCACAAACAAGTCCCGTCGATTCTCCCCTTTCCGCCCCCAAAGCTCATCTCCAACTAAAGCCCGTACTCAATATCCTTCAAGTTGCACATAAATGTGGTGCCGAACATATTGAGAAGCGTGCACTGAGCGTCGCTGCAGAGTTGACGCAGTTAGGAAAACTTTCGTCCCATTTGGGGGTGTCCCTTACATGCATTGATGTCTTTCGGATCGCGATCGACATCGAACAGTTAGCCATGGCGGAGAACGCATGGACCATAATGGTGGGGAAGTTTCTAAATGGAGAGCTTGGCGCTCGATCCCTGCTTGATGAAGGGATGGAATCTCGTCAGCCCCGGTTCTTGGGTTCGGCGTATTATATCGTCATGCTTAAAGGACCGAAAAAGTGGCTCAACGATTTGAAGCTCAGTGAAGAGGAGATTTCTCGACTGGTCCAGGCGTTCCATCATTGCACCGAAGAATGGGACAACTTTGAATTGCGTGTCAGCGAGGGCGATTTTGATATCCCGGACCATCTGGTTTGTCATCGAACACCACCTCCAGAGCAATACACCGCACCTGCGAGCCCCAATGATCATTTCGGTATCCTTGTGCCGTCGCGGGGGTGCTCACCCGATCAGGATACGCATTCCAGCCCCACACGCATCATAAGTCCTATTGTCGAACATATCGCCAAGTCCTGCATGCAACATGGTCTGCATTCATGGGATATATTGGGAAGACTGAGGACAGTCGGTCGAAAGCTGGATTCTCACAGGAAGGACGTCTGGTGCGGGTGCGGTTGCCACCAGCGTTCTGACCACCGGATGAATGATCTGACACGATGCGCCAACGAAACATTGGCTTCAATTGAGGCTAAGCTACCCAGCTATTTCACGTTGGACAAGGAAAAGAATTTTCATTCGCTGCTTACTTTTTCAGCTGAACGTATTGCGCAGTATGTTGCATGATGATGATGATGATGATAAATCTATCTTATTACCCCGCGGCCTCGTGATGACGTGGCAGTGCGGCTATCCCGTCCTAACACCGTAGCCGTACATGGGGGAATGTCTCTACAATGATGGGTATTCTGGTTGGTGAGATCGGGTGTTAATGTTCCTCGGGTTTTGTGATGTCCGTGTGTATTGTCGTGGGCAGTATGTTGCATATTGAGTCGATTTCTCAATCATTGGATTGTAGTTGCTAGTGGTTGCCTCCGTGTGAATTTTTGGAGTTCATCTGAATTGCGTTGTAGCACCACATGCTTTCCACATTCCTCTCCACCAGTTATATAACCCATGCCATCCTTGAATCACCTCAATTGTACGTTCGAGTGCAGAATCCCAGTACCATCCATTGATGGTGATATATATCTACTGTGTCTGCTGTACTGCTCGGATGCCCGATGCTATTGACATGACGGGAAAACCGGGTCGGTCTTGCCTACCTGGCCGCAAACTGAGAGTATAAAATCGTTACTCTTCATGGCATATAGAATCCGAAGCCCGTTGAATTTAATGTCATGACCATCACAAGGACATGGTTCCTTTGAAGGCTACACTATCGCGTTTGGTTCGAGCGCTTATCGCTGGTCTTCTATGAATCCTCACGCATCCATTCACGATCCTACGAAAACCTTCTGAAAAGGAAACCAATAGGATGGAATGGACTAGATTTAGAAGGGAGAGGACTGCGGAGAGTGCGATTCAACCACCAGAGGTTCAACCATCGCAGTCGGAGATTGCGTCTCCACCATCGGAGAGGAATGCGACTCCACCGGTTCAGACAGCTGAGGCTCCACTATTCACAGCCGCCGAATCAGCTAGGACTGTGAGTCCGTTCGTACGCCGTGTGGAGTTGCCGGCAGGACCTCCGAATGCACCCGACCTCCCGCCTCTGAATCTGCCGGCCGGTGGACTCTTGGCGTTCAACCCCCACGGATGCCACGTGGCTCACAAATCTTTATCGTTGAGGGTCGCCGATTCGTCGTAAGCGCTTATCAAATCCATATCGGCCATGGTGTGTGCGCTTTCTTATGCCATTTTATCAGGTTCCAAGGGCTCTACTGGTCCAAAATAGCGATGTATTCCTCGAGATCAGTTCTGATGAAGTTTGTCACTTCCGACACAACATCCATTACTTTCCTCTCGTTGACATCTTTTTTTTTTTCAAGCCCTCTCGAGTCCTGTCTGTTTCAACCTTCTCCCCCATTGCGGAAAATTCTCAACATTCTCCAAATTTCACACAAGTATTGTTGTGAGGCCATCAAGAATTTTGCGCGCCCTCTGGCACTTCGGATGACTTCCAGCACGAGCATCAGAGCGCACACCGGTCCCTCACTCCCAGTAGAGATCGTCTTCCGCATCGGGGTGAAAGTCTTCGAGTCATCAATCTACCGGAGCGCATGGGGATTGATTCTCGAAGCGTTTAGGGAGCACAAAATGACGGCCCGCGATCTCCTCAATGAGGGCCGTCACTCCGGCTTGGATGAAATATTGGCATCTGCTCTCTACGAGGCTATGATTTCGGGACGAGAGAGGTGGGACAGAGACGGTTTAAGCTCAAAAGCGCGCCAGGCTCTCGCGAGGGGTATGTTAAGCTGTACTGAAGATTGGAACGCTTTTGTGTTTCGATTAGCTTCGGGAAACCTCGAAGTCCCCTGGCGGCAGCCACGACGGCGATCTGCTTTCCTTCCACACCCGACGCCTGTAGAAGGACCTTACATTGTGATTCCATCCCAATGCTGTCGCCATGCCCGCCAACAATATAACGCTGAACTTGCGACAATTTCCCAAATCCATGCGTTCTTTAGAGTCCCCTCGTACGATATCATTGGAAGGTTGTCCAAGATTAGGGAAGAGCTGCCAGATATCCGAAACAATCCTCATCATCACGAACAGTGGAGGTACCCATCTCATGAATGTGAGGATTGCTGGGGGACTGTTGTGGCTTACGCAAAAGAAACCAAGGCTTTGATCACGTCGCAGCTGTCGCTTTACTTCTTTGAAGGACAACACCGGCGGAGCTCAGAAACTCGATATGGGGGTGGATTGTTCGGCGTAGTGGATTCTCTTGATCTGTAACGCGTATGTACTTGTCTTGTACTGTGGTATTGGAGGAATTGGCTTGTGTATCGTATCTCATAGCGTCGGGTATTGATAAACAATTTTTGCTCTGATGGGTGGAGGGAATATGTTTCCGAGAAGCAGCGCCGTCGCGCAAGCAGACCTCCACCGCAGCTAGCTCGTCACGACATGCATCCTCTCCCGGCCGTGGATCGCGTTTCACTCCGAAGGATGAGATTCTCGATTTTCTCTTATTCCGAGAATCATGTGCTTCTCAGGTCCTGAAGGATAGATCTGATGACTTGATGGCTTTGCTTCTCGCGGAGTGCTAGTCTGATGCAGTTCGATTCACATACTTCTCGTCTTCCGTCTTCCAGAGCTGGTCTTGTCTATGTCTTGTCTTAATTACAACGCACGTCCCCAGCTTCAGCATGCCTGAGACATGATTCTTTCAGTCCGCGAAAACGGCGATTTGGGGATGCCTCAGCTTGACCACCGCACCTACCTTCTGTTTGTGGTGAGGGTCGACATCTCTTGGGATCGTCTCAGGACGTCGATTTCTGTTACTGGAAAGTGCCACTCAGACCTGCAGGGAACTTGATCGTTGGAACAATGGATCAATAGTGATTTGCCATCCAATACCCAGGCGTCGTGTCGTACACGAGGCCCAGGCTTCCCCAAACCCAACTCCCTATAAAGGCGCGACCCACATACATAACACTCAGTTAGCATGGCACTCTGTGGATCCGAACATAGTGACGACGACCACTCGGAGCGACTCTGGCCCACGTTGGGGAGACAAAACAGCCGCTTGTGAATGACTTGCACTCACTCACCGAGGACGATGGAGTAAGTCTACCTGCACCTGCTACTAGCCAATTCCCCACCGCTTCTGATGCCATTTGCTGACCTAGCGCTGCAGTGCTTCTCCAGTACAGAAACATCACTTGCGCAAGAACACTCCGTTCCTAAGCCATCAACGAAGCCCGCCAACTCCTTCCTCCGCAGCTTGTCCTTCCACCCCAGAGACGAGGCCTGAGTTCTCATGGATAAATCTTTCTTGTTACCCTATGACTCCCAAAAGCTTGTAGCCGAGGGGACGATTTTTGCGGTATGTCCGATGCGGTTTTCGTCGTTCCCTATCCCCTAAACCAATTGGTTCTTTTCCCTTCACAGATCCCCAAAGCGTTACTCCTTTCGAACAGTAGCGTCTTATTGAGACTGAGTGAAAAAGCTGAAGTCCTCCTAGACAGTTCTGCTGACGCTCTTGGCGAGTTCGTCGACATACGATAGTGCCTCCCGCCCCACTGCTACAAGCACGGAACTGACACTTCTCGACCCCAGCCCCTGGCGTTCCTGTTTAGTCCAGGAGGAGCCAACATTGAAAACGATATTGCATCTCCTTCATATCTCCACGAAATATCATGTCATGAAAATTTTCAGGCGCGTGAAACCCATCGTGCCTCGGATGGCACACCGGTGGTGTATCGGGGATGAAATCAATTCAGGTTTCTCAGCGACCATGCATTAAGCTCTGCACCACCTGCAGACGGAGGATCTGAGTGTGGACACAGTTACTCTGGTTATTATGAAAGCTCGGTGCTGTTCTGCAGCTTAATTCTATCGGTCAATATGACCTAATTCCATAGTTAATCATCAAAACCCATGATGATGCATGGCATGTCCCTGTCCACTATTGACTCCCGTCAGAATGATGTCATGGGGCTATGCTCGTTATATGTGCAATCACATCTTCCTTGGTATTTCTTGTCCCTTACGGACGAAAGGGAGATGACGGTGCTAGGGAAGCGATTCCCTGATCTCTTCGCACCGTGCCCCATAATCTATTCCTTGCGAGTTTCCATGTCAAACACAAAGGCCCCTTCTTCCGTATTTCACGAAAATCATCACCTCGATAATTTGGGGATGATTCACCAACTACAATCGGGACGCAGCGGTGACGTAGCAACGCTTCTAGTTTGTGTCCGCATTCATGAATCCCTTTTATGACCTACGCAAATCTACTTTGTAAGCTAATGAAACAGCAGCTCCAGGGATGTTCGCAGGCTCTTGGGAGTCACTGATTCGCATACACTCGTATGGGTGTGGGGGCAACAAGGTCAAATTCATCACTCGGTGCCGATCAATCTGTGCTTCAGACATTCCGAAATCACCAGGGACATCCTAACTAGACTTCTGATGTGGCCCTTATTATCAACACCGCTTTCAAAGTTGAGATCAACCGGATTTCTGGGCATCTGAGCTTGACACAAACATAAATGTCTATTCCCCTCTTCTGCACTATCACCCATGGTTTTCCTCTATCCTCTAAATTCGCACAAGTATCATGCTGAAGATCTCGAGCAGCTCAATGACTATTGTCACCAAACGAACTCAGCGATGAAATCTTCCTTCTAGCAACATGCGAACGTCGTCTACATCCACTGAAGTCTCCTGGGTTGATAAACTCCAAATGCTCGGCTACAGTAGGAATCGCATGAGAGTTGTCAGTGAGAATGTTCAGGAGCTGGAAGCCAGGTCGTGCTTGACAAGGGGCTGGTCAGTCATAATCCTTAGGATTGGCATGTTATGCTTGAAGGCTCAACTATCCTAAGGTCAAGGGGGCGAAACTTCGTTGGCCTAGATGTTCCAGCGCTACACAAAAGAGTAGAATCCTTTTGGTTTGATCGCCAAGTAACACGATTCTGATGCTTTATACGACCTGGCTCGCGATCGCGATCGACGAGCAACTGCACGGGCCCCAGAGAAACCTGATGATTCAGATTCCATTATTGTCTAAGGCTCGCGGCACTTGGTCCGCGTGGTCAGTCACGAGTTCCCTTGTTGGACGCAATATTGACCAGCTAGTTCTACATGCAACGTATTAGGGAAGCCTGACGGAGCACCCACGGGACTTCCGCAGTAGGCGAGTTTGGTGCTGTACGCCAACAAGTAGCCACCTGCAATCGGAGCGGGGTTGCCCAGCTTTCCCGATCTTGGACAACGGAAATTAAAGCATCACCTTGCTTTTTCTGTGCATCACGTTGGGCAATTATGCTGTGCATTTGGGTCGATCTCTTAAGTCGCTGCAGCGAATTGCATATGCCACGTGTAAACCTATACCATCTTTGCACCGGTTTCCATCCTTAATAGCTGTGAAGCTGAAGCAGAATCTCGTTGTGCTTCATTGATGGAAGTGCTGGGTCGGTTTGCATAGTCGCTCTATCTGTATTTGGTACCAGTGCAAACTCCCGCGTATGGTAAGATCGGGGAATTGAAGCCTATACAATCGGACACAGAACATTTGGTTCAGCCCCTTATAAATGGTCTTTCGCTTCCATTCGCTGCACCAACTAGGACCTCCCCTCACGATCCGACCAAACTTATCACGAATGTCTTGCGACTGTGGACTTCCAAGTTTACCGACCAACAGACTTGATCACAATTCCACATCGTTACCCCGCGGCTCACAAACTTTTCTTGTGGAGGGCCGCCGATTCATGGTAAGTCCCCAATGATGTGCTGAGCGCTCTGTGTGTTTCTCATCATATGCGGCCTTCTTAGATTCCGAAAGCTCTAGTGGCTCAAAATGGCGATATTATTCTCGAAATCGGTGCAGCTGGAGGACCTGAAGAGGCCATCACGTTGGATGATCATTCCGGAGCCTTTGAGGATTTTGTGGATGTTCTGATGAAGTTTGTTGTTTTTATCTAACATCCACCGGTATCGCATTGCTGAGCTTCTTTTATCCAAGTCCTCTCAGATCTTGCCTGCTACAGCCTTCTCCCCCGTTGGGGAAAATCCTGAACGTTCTTCAAATCTCACACAAGTACGGTTGCGAAGTCGTCGAGGATACTGCACGGTCCCTGGCAGTTCGGATGACTACCAAAGAGGAGATAAAATCGCACATCGGACCCTTCCTACCAGCAGTGAATGTTTACCGCATCGGAGTGAAGGTCTTCGAACCATCAATCTACCGAAACGCATGGGAATTGATTCTTGAATCATTCCGGGAGCACAGAATGACGGCGCGCGATCTCATTAACGAGGGTCGTCACTCCGGCTTGGATGAATTATTGGCATCTGCTCTCTATGAGGTAATGATTTTGGGACGAGAGAGGTGGGACAGAGAAGGTCTAAGCTCTAAAGCACGCCAGGCTCTCACAAGGGCCATGTTAAGCTGCACCGAAGATTGGGACGCTTTTGTGCTCCGATTAGCTTCAGGAAATCTCGAAGACCCCCGCCAACAGTTACGATGGCGAGATCGGACTTCGGCGTCCTTTATACACCCAACACCCGGAAATGAACCCATTACTCAGACTTCATCCCGTTGCAGCAGCCACAACCGCCGTCCATATAGAACCGACCTCGCGAGAATTTCCCAAATCCATGCGTTCTACAAAGTTCCTACCTATGATATCATTGGAAGGTTATCAAGGATCACGGACGAGGATTCGAATGTCCCGTTTGCGCGTTGTTCAGAACATTGTTCATCACATAACTGCCAGTCTCGCCACTGTTCGGATTGCTGGAAGACTGTTGTATTTCACGCGTACGAAACAAAAGCTTTCATAGAGTCGCATCTGCCATTCTGCTTTTTTGAGGAACAACACCAGAGGCCCGGTTTGGAGATGGACGGACCGGACACAATGGACGATCCTGATCTGTAATACCCATGTGCTCGTCTATACTGTGCCATTAGAGTAATATAACAGACGTTTTACCATAGAGTGCACCATGCATGACAAATATGGGGGTGGGCAACGTAGGTTGGTTCCGTGTTCCGCTTATGTAATCACATGGAGCAGCAAAGTGTACCAAAAATGTCTCGTGTACTTTCTCACCACACACAACAAATAAAGAGAATCATCATTAGTAAACATTAATCAGATTGACCTAAAATAAAAATCATTCAGAGGAATTTTTGAGAAAGTCAAAAATGGCTGTGTTGTGGTCGAGGAAATGTGTATAATTTGCCCATATCTTCAATTGTAGGAAGTTACACGCAAATTCCTCTGAAAGTTTTGTAGAAATCTACTATGTGCACCATATCCCCGATTTATATGCTCTCAGGAGGATACTGGAGAGAGAAAGTACAAACGGGGATTTTTGTTATGGTTTATTTGTACTTCTGTTTAATTTATCAAGTCTTATGAGAAAGCAGGCCAATATAAGCTATGCAGCAAAGCCAGTACTTGTGTCAGCATCTAATAGAGGCTAGATTTCAGAAATATGAGTCCAGATTAAGTGTCAAGGGTACCAGCTGGGTCGTGTTTGCCCCGATGCAGCACACAAGTACAAATAAACCATAACAAAAATCCCCGTTTGTACTTTCTCTCTCCAGTATCCTCCTGAGAGCATATAAATTGGGGATATGGTGCACATAGTAGATTTCTACAAAACTTTCAGAGGAATTTGTGTGTAACTTCCTACAATTGAAGATATGGGCAAATTATACACATTTCCTTGATGTCAGGGTGTTAGACACTGGTCCGGGGTCGGCACCGAAGGTCGCCTATGCGGGCCGCTATAGGCCGCGATGGCCGTGATGCCGCGAACAAGGCCCGGGGGTAGGGCATTTGGCCTCAGCAACTCTAAAGGGAGTGCTGTGCCCCCTAGCTGTCTCTTGGCCCTCATTTCGGACTCACTGGGGTTGCCTTGTTGGGGTCAGGACTTAGGGGTCGTGGTCATATCGATATTAGAGCTGAGGTACAATACAGGATATATATAGGAAGAAGAAATGAATGGAAGCGGACCCGGGCCGGAGGCCGAAGGGTCCGGAAGCAAACAAGAAGAAGGAGCGGGGTTGGCCGCATAGCGGCCGGCAATGACCGAGGGTCAAAACAAACAATAACAGATAAATAAAGGAAAGAGCGTAGGGCTGTGATAGCGGCGATGGTATCGTAGCGGCGCTGGACTCGGAGTTGGGCCAGAGTCGGGCGTGGGGATGATAGTGGCCCTGTAGGGGCCAAGTGGGCAGGGTAGGGGAGTCGCACTGGGCACGGTGCCGGAGGCGGACTCAGGGTGGGAAGGTTGGTGCAGCAGTGGGGGAGTCGGCCAAGCATAGGGGAGCCTAGGGGCAAGCGGGGAAGTGAGCAGGGAGTCCTCAGGGAGGATAGGGCTGAGGTCGGGGCTCGCGTTCATGCTCGCATAGCGGGAACGGGCTCGGGCGGCATCGGGACGGGCGGGGAACGGGCTGGAATGCACGGCCGTGACACAGGGGATGACTCCCGGGTCCCCATGACCCTCCCCTATGGTCCACAGCCTGACCTATGAACAGCCCTGTCCAGGGCAACAACTACTGTGGGTAAGGAGATGAATAGATAAAGCAGTAGGTAAGGTACACTTGCCTACTGTGGGTAAGGAGATGAGAAGGAAGCTAACTTCTCATCTTCCCACAGTGGCCACAATATCAAGCAAACTTCCAGGGATACCTGGAAGTCACATGAAGGGATAGGGACTGGGCCCGGAGCATGCGGTGCACGGAGCGTGCGCACATGTGGGAAGCACAGCGGGTGGATGTGGGTCCGGATGCGGGTCCGGGTCCGGGCTAGTCAGGGTGTGTGCCCTGACACTTGACCACAACACAGCCATTTTTGACTTTCTCAAAAATTCCTCTGAACGAGTTTTATTTTAGGTCAATCTGATTAATGTTTACTAATGATGTTTCTCTTTATTTGTTGTGTGTGGTGAGAAAGGACATGAGACATTTTTGGTACACTTTTCTGCTCCATGTGATTACATAAGTGGAACATGGAACCAACCTACATTGCCCACCCCCAATAAATATATAGTGTTGGGCCTAGCTTGATAAACAATATATATGCAATGTTCGCTGTGCATGTGTCAGAGACCAGATTCGAGACGAAGGAATGTCTCCGTAGCGGAGGGCTTTGGCCTCAGCGACTTCTGCCAAGAGCGCTGTGCCTAGTGACACGTCCGTGCCCTAACTTACTGACTGGCAATTAGAACCTAGGGGGGGTAACTCTAGTTGATTTTATTACTGGAGTGTAACCTATGTACAAGCGGGATATATATATGGTTACAGCGAAGACGGGTCCGCAATTGGCGGAGCCGGACGGAGCGGAGCTAACGGGGTTAATCATTAGCTGACTGAATATTACCGACGAGTCGGGTCGTGGGGTTAGCGGGAAGGCAGGTGATAACCCAGAAACGGAAAGGAGGGATAAGCCTGAAGGTAGGCTCTGCAGGGCAGGCGATTGTATTGCCCAGCGGAGGCGGGGGTGCGCTAGCGGACGTCGGAGCTGTCCGGAAGTCTTCGGGGCTCCGTACTTAGGGAGGCGTAGGTAATAAGTTGAAATGAGGGGGTGGTGACCATCGAGGGGTGCCGAGAGGATTGCGGAATATGGGAGCTCCGAGGTTAGTGAAGGAGGATGTCACGACCCGGCGTTCCCCGGGGCCAGACGACCTCCTCCCTGACCCTCTCCCACGCCCGAACACTCCCCGCACACTCCGCTCGCCGCCCGTCGCCGTCTAACCACTTCCCGCCACCTCTCCACAACCCCTCTCTTGATTGTCGTTGAACGACCTAGCGGCGCAGAGCGCTGCGACCTGTTGTCCCATGTTTCGCCGCACCTTGTTACCTCGCGGCGAAGGTCACGCTTGACCTTCGCTGTCTTGAACATGTGCTCTTTGTTTGTTTTCCTCCTTTTCTCTGCCCGCAATCTCCGCGAGATCTGGCGATTTATTCTCCATTCAGTTTCCTAGCGCTTATATACAGCTTGTAACTAATGCTTGTACTGTAGTTCGAAATCAACTAGAATTCACCCCCTAAGCTTACCTCTGTCCCCCGTGAGACCTCCGACTTTCTGAAGTATCGGGACCACGTCGAGAACGAGGCGCAACGCTCCTCCTCAAGTCGTTGAAGCCGAAATCCCGGCTCACTTGCCTAAGTAACCTTGGCCTCGAGATCGGTGGGGTTTATTCCTCGCTAAAGCTCGGTCGTGTGTAGGACGCCTATTCCACTAGCGGGCAACGCTCGGTCGCCTACGGCTACCATCAGCGAAGATTCGCACGGTTCTGACAGAGGAGCAGAGTTAGACTGGAGGGAACGGAGGGACCGGAAGTCGATGGCCGGGAATGGATATGACAGCATGCTTTGTTACATAATTACAATGCAGTGGCACTATACAAGTTGATCTACAGTGTTCACGGCACAAAAGTGTTTTATGTCAAGCCCAGAAGGGATGTGTGATTACAAGGAGAGATGGACCCACACACTCCTTGCTTCCTGTGTGACCAGATCAACGCGACTGGGCAGCAAAACTGTCGATGGCGGAATTTGCGATCAATGCGAGCTCGAACACATCAACAGGATTTGCCCTGTTCGAATTAATCTGTCATATCCATACAATCCCGACCTCCGCTCCGGGCTCCCAGAACTCCGAACCTGACTTCCGGAGTCCTACTTCCCTTCTGTCACCTCCTGCTTGCCGACTCCCAAGAGGCTATCCCACCTCTGGCTCTGACACCACCTTCGGTCCGACTCCGGAACATTCCGGGTCCGACCCCAACCTTGACACCTTCCAGGTGGGTATGCAACACCTATGCTCCTGACTCTGGGCCTCTGCTCCGGAATCCCGTTCGCGTCCCCGTCTCCGGAACCTCCGGTCTTAGCTCCGACCTCGGACTTTGACCCCACCTCCGCTTATACCCATTGTATTGGTTAGCTCATTCCATTTAATTACATTTGCCAATATTCCGGAGTTTAACTTCCGAGTTCGGACTTTCCGGACTTACCTCGGACCTTGCAACTATTGCATTGTCCTATTCAATTCCGCTATTCTCCCTCATTCCTATTTGGGCTGCTGCTTCCTTTCTATTCAGTCAGCTAGCCATTCCCCACTCCCAACCTCCTTCCTTCCTCCTTGGGCCTTGGCCCTTCATTCCTCCTTTGGGAAACACCATTGAGTCAAACCCTTGACCCTCGGTGTTGTTCCTCTTTCCATCTCCCTTTGTCTCCTTTTGTCCTACCCTTGTTCCTTTTGATTCCGGACCCCTCAATGTACCTAGTAACTTGTAACCTCAGTCTGAAATTGACCTGAATTCCCCCCAAGAGACTTTCCCTCTGCTAGATCCGAAATTAGGGACCCCCAGGACAACCAGCAATGGCACAGTGCTCCGCATGAGTCGCTGAGGCCGAGGTCCTTCCACGCTAAGTCTCCGATTCCATTCCGGAGTCGTCCGAATCTGCCCGGTTCTAACATAATCTATAGCCATATGCCAAAGATGTGCCTAACAGCACCACTCTCGGACTACCCAGGAGTAAATGACTTCGCTCATGTCAGGGCTCGGTCCTCAATCAGGGACAGCCCGACCTCGGTCCTAGGTGTGTGTGGTGTTCCGGGTGCTTGGGCGCTAGACCCCGTCCTCAGCTCCTCAAACTCACTGAAGGGACTAAGCGGGGATTGAGTTGTCATGTATTACAGAGGGTAACTACAACTTGCCTAAGCGGGGATTGAGTTGAGAAGAAGGGTAAGTTTCCCTATTCCCCGCTTGGCTACTATAAAAGGAAGTGTACTGTACAGTTCGTAACGTGATTCCGGGTAGAAGCCGAGCATGTTCCCGCGACTCGGAAAAGGTGTCACATGGGTTAAGGCGAGTTGCTCGCCTTAACCCACGTGACTTTTCCCGCGGGCTCACATGCGGGTTGAAGTTGTGAGAGGTATGTAGGGATGGGGAGGTCTGGGAAG